GCACTACAATTTAATGAGTAAACTACTATTACTACTAATTTGATGAGTAAATTTAACTACTACTACTTATTACAGCCCCACAGTGCCCCCACAGCTCTCCCTTGTTCTGTACAACTCCCCTGTCCCTACAGCCCCCCACCAGCACTGGATCTGAGCCTCAGGGCTCTCACCACTGTTTTACCCTTTTGTTTCAGCCTCTCTCTTTTTGCCAGGCTGCATCCAGAGAATCCACAAACCTCCTAAGAGGCTCCCCCCATAAAGGCCATGTCCTCATAAACCCCATCTCCCTCACAAAGGGGCAGCCTCAGAAGGTCTCTGTGCTCATAGAACCCATCCACCCCATAATGGTGCAGCCTCATAAAAGCAGTGGCCTCACAAAGCCAACACCCCTCACCATGGGGCTCTCATCATAAAGCTGATGACCTCAGTAATGCCAGAAACCTCATAAAGGCTTTGTCCTCATAAAGCCGGTGCACCTCAGAAGAGCAAACATCATAAAGGCTCTGCCCTCATAAACACCATAAATGTCATAAAGCACTGTCCTCATACACCCCATACACCTCATGATAGAGCTCTCATCATAAAAGATCTCTCTGCATAAAGCCCATGCACATCATAAAGGTGCTGTCCTCAGAAAGCCCATACACCTCATAAGAGGCTCTCCTCATAAAGGCCATGTCCTCATAAACCCCATAAACGTTGTTGCCTAAAAGGCTGCAGAGGAAAAAAGACTCCAGGCCAAACTAGGCAGGAGATCAAACAAGCAGCAGAGGTTTCCATGAGCCTCCAGGCTCCAGGAATACAAACCCACCCACGACCCTTCCAACGCAGGGGTTACAGTTTTTATAATGATTTCCACCCAATGCCCGTCCCGTCCCCGCCCCGGTTCTGCCCCGTTCTGCCCCAGGAACGCCCGTGGGGAATTGAGTCTGGGGGAGTTTGGAGTTTGAGCCGCTGCAACTACAACTCCCGGCGTGCCCCGCGCGGCAAAGGGGGCGGGGCGGAGTCTCTGCCGGTGGTGCGCGCGCACAGCCCCGCGGTGGCTGCCGGGAAAGTGATGGCGGCGACACAGGAATCTGCTCAGGCCTGTGAGACCTTGCGGGGGCTGCGGCGGGGCTGGGGATGCGCTCGGGGGCTGCGGGGAGCGCGGCTGTGGGCGAGAAGGCTGGAGGGCTCGGCAGAGTGGAGAGGAGGGGCTCGGGAGTTTCCGAGGAGGTTTTGAGGTCCGTAAGGCCTCTCGGCAGGTCGCGGAGGGGATTTGGTGTCCTGAGGGCGCTCAGAAGGGAGGGTGAAGGTGCCTGAAGGGGTTTAGGAGGTCCCTGAAAGGGCTGGGGGCCTTGGAACCCTTACGGGGGGGGAGGGGTGTGCTGTTTAAACGCCATGGCTGCACTGCGCAGGCGCCGGCGGAGTTTCCACGAGGGAACTTCAACTCCCATGAGGGTTAGCGCGACGCCGCCATTGCCGCTCGTGGCACAGCGCCCCCTGCCGGCTGGGCGGACCGACCGCAGGGAAAGGGAATCTTAATGTTCCCCCCGAACCCCAGAGACCCCCAAAACTCAGCACACAGAGACCCCACAGGGAGGGAGGCTCGGGGTTCCCCTAAAGCCTTTCAGTGGGGTTCAGGGGGTCCCTCAGTCGTCAGGGGAGTCCTGGGGGTGCCACCCAAAGTCTTGTGGGGGTACCCCCCCAGTGCTCCCAGTATAGCCCAGTGACCTCCCAGTGGTTCTCAGTATTGCCCAGTAACCCGCCCAGTGACCACTCAGTTTCCCAGTGACCTCCTACTGCCCCCCAGTATGGCCCAATGATCCTGCAGTGAGCACCCAGGAACTCCCAGTATGGCCCAGTAACCTCCCACTGTCCTCCCGTGTGTCCTGGTAATTCCCCAGTAACTCCCCAGTGCTCTGCCAGTGCTCCCCAGTGTGTCCCAGTTCCCTCCCAGTGCCCTCCCAGCATCCGTCAATAACCCCTCAGTCCCTCCCAGTGCCCCCTGGTTCCCCCCAGTGTGTCCCAGTATCCCCCAGTAATCACCCAGTGCCCCCTAAAGCCGCCCAAATGTCCCCAACGTGTCCCCAGGTGCCCTTGGCCTTTCTGTGAGCAGGGGGGGATGGGGCCTTTTTGGGGTCAGAGGGTCCAGGGGGGCCTTTTGGGGGCAGATGGAGGGTTGGGGACATCTGGGATGGGGTTTAGGACAGTGGAATGGGGGGTGTCAAGGGGGGAACTGGGGCCATGGGGAGGCCCTGGGGACATTGGAGACACCAGGGGGGTCTCAGGACTCACCTGCTCGTGGTGCTGCCCCTCCTGTCCCCCCCAGGCCCCAGTAAGGCCTTCCAAATGTCCCTTAACCCCCCTTTTTCCTTTCATCCCCTCTACTCCAAGATCCCTTTTACCCCCCAATGCTCCCAAGACCTCTTTTAACTCCCCCAAATGCACCCAGAGGCCCCCAAAACGCCCCAAATCCCAATCAAACCCCTGCCAAAGAGGGATCACCGGGCACCCTGGGACAGGAACACAGTGGGCTGTGCTGGGGGCACTGGGCTGTACTGGGAGGGCACTGAGGGGGCACTGGGCTGTACTGGGAGAGCCCTCATCCCCAAAGCCCCTCCCCTGGGCATCCGTGCCACGCTCTGGGAACCACGGCGGGGTTGGATCAAGGGGGGCACTTGATGATCTGGGAGGTCTTTTCCAAGCCGGCTGATTCTGGGATTCTCTGGGTGCCATGGCCAGGGCAGCACATGCTGGAGGCT